GTTATGTGCTACCAAATTGCTTCTAACTTATAGTAACCATAAAAATGAATGGCCACTAAAAAGTTGTATCATTAACAACCCTGCACAGCTCTCACAAACCAGAAGCCATAGCTTCCATTAGAGAGTAAATTAAGATTGTACTGTATATATTTTAAAGCAGCCATTCTCCATTCTGGGCCATATGGCTTCCTCGAGGCCCCTGGCACATTTCAAGGGGGGCACAGACTGGAAAAAATTCTTCATACACCACCTTATAAGGTTCGTTATGCAACGTATACAATCAGCCTATATTTCTTTCATATTGTGCTTATGGCCATGGCCAAAAAAAAAAAAAAGAGTTGAGAATGGCTGTTTTGAAGTGTTGCTTTTCAGGGCACAAGAGATGTAAACTTACTGGGCTTGCAATTTGTAAGTGGGGAAGAAGTGGTCAATACAGGTTAAATTATAAAAATCTGAAATTCTAAAGATATCAAATACTTATACACCTATCTCTGCACTTATCTAAAGGTCTGCCTTCTTAATTGTAACCCAATTCCAGTAAGTGATAGTGGAGTTTCTTCCCAAAGAAGATGTTGCAGGTAAAAGGACAGCCAGGATAGCCAGGGTTGACTGATGAAAAGACTGACAATTGAACAGCTGCAATTTACACAAGTTTACTAAAGCACATATAAGTCACTAATAGGATTCCAGTCAACAACTACTAACAGAAGTCAAATGAGCAGAAACCTTGCTATTTTCAGTGGCTCAGTGGGATGCTGAATTTCCTACTGAGGGAAGCTAGGCTGGTTGTTGTCTTCATCTTATCAGGCAAAGACCTTTGCCAAAGAAGGGCCTTTGATCAGGTTGGTGCTATGCTTCTTTTTACTGATGTATTTTAAACAGTATTTGTACATTTTAATGTTTAAATTTGGTTTGTTTTATTCACAAGCTTTTTATCACAAGCAATTTGTGAGAGAAAGACAGATGGGAATACAATACATTATTAACAATTAACACAAAACCCTTTTCAGAACCTTTTATACAGTGGCTGAAATCCTGTTGTCCAGTTATGCAAATGAAATAACCTTTAGAGGCAAATTGCTGAAAGTTAAGAAATCTCATAGACATTTTCTGTTCCACACCAAGTTGTGTGACTCATTATGCAACAGGTCATGTCAACAGAAATTGCAATTTGCTTCCAAAAGTTACACAGCTTGTGCAACAGGATTTCAGGCAGTGATTCCCAGCTTCCCAAGAAAAAAGCAGCAGCATAAAAATGAGCTATTTCTATTATATCTTCACCTGAAATAGTGTAAACAGGTAGTAATTTTTCAGGAAGAAACTACAGTGGTGCCTCGCTAGATGATGATAATCAGTTCCAGTGAAATCAGTGGTGCCTCGCTAGTTGATGATAATCAGTTCCACTGAAATCGCTGTTTAGCGAAATCATCATCTAGCAAAAAGCATTTCCCCACTGGAATGCATTGAAACCTGTTTAAAGCATTCCAATGGGAAATAATCATTTGCGAACCACCAATCAGCTGTTTAAATAGCTATCTTGCGAAGCTTAGGTCCCGACAACACCCGCTTTGCGAGCACGGAGGGAGCTGTCAAAATTGTCGTCTAACGAAAATCGGTTCGCGAAGCAGGGACCAAACATTGTCCAGTGAAATTCCTCCATAGGAATCACTGTTTTGTGAATTGCTATAGCAATCACAAAAAGTCAATGTCTGGCGAAAAAACATGCGGGGTAACTGTCTAGCGAGGCACCACCGTAGCTAGATTTTCCTAATCTGTAAAGTAGACAGAAACTAGGTACTTACGTTACTCTAAATACCTGGTTTCTGTCTACTGTACTTTAATCTTAAAAAACTAGCTGTTGGCAAAGCAAAACGTGTATTCCAACCTTGGGGTCTTGATGCAAACACCATTAATGTCAGCTGAAGAGAGGCTAGAACACTGGTTCTTAACCTTGGGTTACTCAGGAGTTTTGGACTGCAGCTCCC